TTCGAGCAAGCTTCAGAGAAGGACGAAGAAAAAATTCTTGAGTTCCTCTTTGCCCAATTTGGTTTAAGCGAGCCGATTTCGAAGTCGATAAGTAAGGGATTAGTAATTTAGAGATTTGTTGCAATCACATAAAGCCACTTTAGAATTAACGAAAGGTGATGCGATCGAACTATTTTGTGACAATGCCAAACAAGGATCGAACAAGTATTCAACCCTTGCCTACGATGGCGATCGGTATGTAAAGTCGCTCTTTTTAACTTCAATAATTGGCATTTGTATGACTTTTGTATAAATTTGATCGGATGTTTCCTATTTGGTTGAAAATTGCTATTTGAGGGGCACTAAAACGACTGTGCTACATCAAAGTACAGTCTTAATCAGCATGCCACATATTCATGCCTTTTATGTAGAATAAAGCAAAAGATGCAGAAATTAATGAATTTTCAAAAGCAGTCGATTTTCTCTCCTCGACATATTTATAATCAATAAGTCACTGCATCCTTTTTTACTAATTTTCAGCGGCCTGGATCAAATGCGAAAATCATTAATTATTCAACAGCTAAAATCTTCTCGGTTTTCATCTATATTAGCCTATCCAGTACTTTTCCATGGCCTGCGATGGGATACACCAATACTTGGGGCAAAAGCGAAAAAAATCTTGTATACTCGTAATCTATGCTAGCTTATCCCAGTTCATTGATTTTTAGTCTTGACTTATATTAACAAATGTTTTCATGTACATATTGTTTCATCAATAAATGTTGTAAAGAAAGTATAAACGTAGATAATGTATTCTATGCTATGCACATGTAATTATGATGGTATTATCAAAAGGACAATTAATTCCCAAAAACTATATATTTGGCTCCTTATTGTTTTTTTTCCAGCCTGGTAGGGTTGTGCCTATGCTCGCTGAAAGATTCCGACACCGAGGACACCTTAGTACCAGCAGAAGTGGATTTTGAAAATCATGATTGCGCAGAAGGTTTGAATCATGTTATACTCAGAAGGATGATTCCTGTATCTTAATTCATTTTCCAGACATCAAAAAAGGTCCATATAAGGAACACAAAGCGAACGAGATTGTTACCCTTGTGCATGCGCTGGAGGATAGCCTAAAACGATTGATCGGAAAGCACAAAAAAGTGTTAAAAATCGATATACTTTCGTCATAAGGATTATATGGGGTAGTTCAACCTTTTTTTCTAGATTATGCATGATTTGGTCTCACAAAAAAAAACTTTTAGGAAGGGATTGGGTAAAGCTCTTACACGAAGAGCGGTGGAAATAGCTTTGACGGAAAGATGTGACTGGGTTGTTACAACTGCAACTTCTTCCGCATCTCAACGAATTTTTGCGAAGGTTACTGACAAATTTCTTAACAAATCTTTTATAATACAATTCACATTAAAACCTCCTTATTTACAGGCGGGTCTCCGAGTGATTTATGAGATTCCTTATGAGCATTTCCGCGAAAATGGCAACCCGGTGTTTCAAAATCTTTACGACGGTTGTTCGGCAGGAAGAGCGATGGCGTTAAAGCTTAACTAGGAGAAACTTCGGTTTTTGATATGTACTGATTCTTTTCTATTGTATTTACTTCGAAAGGCTTTTTCAAGCTTTATCTTGAAATTTCTGTTCCGCATAGGGATGAGATACGATGCTTTGATACGAT